CGAGTTCGAATCATACCTCAGGACAAAAAAAGAGTACTGTTCACGTTGTGGTATTTATTTAGTGCTAAATAATAACACAAATATATATTTAGATATAACAAACTAACAAGTCATGAGGCCGAAAGAAAGCAGAATCGATGTGGCCTGTGCTGGCGTAATTGGTAGAGCGATGGATTCGTACCCAAAGAGTGCCGAGTTCGAACCATATCGGGACAAAAATTGGAAAGCGTGGAATTTATTATTTATTGTAAGATAGCACAAAGATAAAATTTGGATTTAATAAACTAACAGGTCATGAGGCCGAAAAAAAGCAGAATCGATGTGGCCTGTGTTGGCGTATTGCTAGCGTGCTAGCTTCATGTCAACAGGGTACCGAGTTCGATTCATACCTCCGGACACAAAACGCAAAATAGCGTGACTGTTGACGCTGTGGAACGAGGTATGCACGGAATCACATCCGTTCGAATTTGAGACCCCAGGTATGCTCCCCTCGATCTCGATTGAGAGGAGAGATACGCGCGAGAATCCCGTATCATCCCCTAATGAACCCCGCAGCAGCCCCAAAAAGGGGCGAGGGGGGATTATAGGGGGGTGTGGGGTTCACAAACCCGCGACCCTGTGGTCCCGCCCTCGAAAAAGGGAGAGGGGGGACTATAGGGGGGTGAGGGTTCCGCGCGACGACCACCACTGGGTCGCGCCGGTTGAAAAGCTGGGTGCGTCACAGGGTGGGTCGGTGTGCGAGTCCCCGGAGCACCCTCGAGTGCGATGATGGGGATGTGGGGTTAGGGAAATGCAGTGACAAGGGAAAAAGGGGTGAAAAGATATGAGGGGGGAGAGATAAGGATGGTGAGAGAGAGATAGGGGAAGAGATAGGGGTGGTGGGAGAGATAGGAGGGGGAGAGATAAGGGGGGGAGAGAGATAGGAGGGGAGGAGACAAGGGGAGGGAAGAGCTAGGGGGAGAGAGAGAGGGGGAGGGATGAGAGAGGGGGGAGAGAGACAAAGGATGGATGAGGGACAAGAAAGCGATAGGGGAGGAGACTAAACGCATTTTCCACCCATCACGTTACAAATGCGTGTTACACATGCGTAACACGCAGTGTAACGTCGCGCTCCACCCTCATCCATCCTCCCTCCGTTCTCTCTCCCCCTCTCTCATCCCTCCACCTCTCTCATCCTCCCCTTATCTCTCTCCCCCCTATCTTCCCACCACCCTATCTCTCCCTATCTCTCTCTCACCATCTTATCTCTCCCCCTCATATCTTTTCACCCCTTTTTCCCTTGTCACTGCATTTCCCTCACCCCACATCCCCATCATCGCACTCGAGGGTGCTCCGGGGACTCGCACACCGACCCACCCTGTGACGCACCCAGCTTTTCAACCGGCGCGACCCAGTGGTGGTCGTCGCGCGGAACCCTCACCCCCCTATAGTCCCCCCTCTCCCTTTTTCGAGGGCGGGACCACAGGGTCGCGGGTTTGTGAACCCCACACCCCCCTATAATCCCCCCTCGCCCCTTTTTGGGGCTGCTGCGGGGTTCATTAGGGGATGATACGGGATTCTCGCGCGTATCTCTCCTCTCAATCGAGATCGAGGGGAGCATACCTGGGGTCTCAAATTCGAACGGATGTGATTCCGTGCATACCTCGTTCCACAGCGTCAACAGTCACGCTATTTTGCGTTTTGTGTCCGGAGGTATGAATCGAACTCGGTACCCTGTTGACATGAAGCTAGCACGCTAGCAATACGCCAACACAGGCCACATCGATTCTGCTTTTTTTCGGCCTCATGACCTGTTAGTTTATTAAATCCAAATTTTATCTTTGTGCTATCTTACAATAAATAATAAATTCCACGCTTTCCAATTTTTGTCCCGAGGTATGGTTCGAACTCGGCACTCTTTGGGTACGAATCCATCGCTCTACCAATTACGCCAGCACAGGCCACATCGATTCTGCTTTCTTTCGGCCTCATGACTTGTTAGTTTGTTATATCTAAATATTATATTTGTGTTATTATTTAGCACTAAATAAATACCACAACGTGAACAGTACTCTTTTTTTGTCCTGAGGTATGATTCGAACTCGGTACCTTTATGGTACGAAGCCATCACTCTACCCATTACGCCAACACAGGCCATGCCAACTCAACTTTTTTTGGCCATATGACCTGTTAGTTTGTTTTTCGTTTAAAATATACAATATCACCTACTTTGTAACGGTTTTATAATGTGATCGTCGTGGCGTCGTGCGTTAGGAGGTGGGAGTCGCTGGAGATGGCGGGATAGCAGGTTCGAGCCGTGGTGAGGTAAGCAGGGTAAGAATATTAGTTCTTAACGTAGGTAAGTTATGGGTTAAGGTAGTGTGAAGTTAAGGTAAGGTAGTGTAAAGTAAGGTAGGTGATGGAAGCGTAAATATGGGGGAATATTAATGTAATTATTACGCTAATAAAAATAAAGACATATTAGTATTGATGAGGATGTCATTGTGCAAAAGAAAAAAGTAACACGAAGGTTGAGGACTTTAATTTTTTTTTTATAAGTTAAAGTTAAGTAAAACTGACCAATATTTGAAGTAGTATATTAATTAAAATGAACTAATTAACAGTTTCAATAATATAAGTGAGTGAAAAATATTAATATTTTTGACATGTTTGTCAAATATTAAATTTTATAATTTAATAGTCCATTTAAAATGGTAAAAGTTATAATTACGTTAACTTTATTTAATATTTTGATAATAAATAACTAAACAATAAGAAACTAAACCTAATTCATCTCAACCTAATAAAATTCTAATTAAATTTGGACTAATAATTATTATTATTATAGAAAATACAAATATTAATACTAATAATAAAAATCGATTTTTATTAAAATCTTCTATTATATATATATTCCAATATTTAACTACTATTGAAGAAATCATTAACACAAAACTTATAAATATTAAAGATATTCAATCATGATAGAATTAAATTACAAAAATTATATTATATGAAATTTATTTAAAGTATTAAATCCTCTTCGAAGAACGAATTAATGAGTATTTTAATGTTTATGATAACATTAGCTTATCAGTTTATAATACCTGTACCTGTGTTTCTAATATATATCACTGAAAATGGTGTGAAATGAAACACGCCACATAAAGTTTAGTTCGTTTTATTCAAAACTTCCTGTCAATGTATCACACTATTTAATAATACAATTATATTAATTTATTCTTACAATTGCAATAACAAGAATAATTAAAATACATTAACATTTGCCTAAAACTGAAATATATATATATATATATATATATATATATATATATATATGATTTAGTAGTTAATTTTGATGTTGAAATATATGAGTGAGTTCTTGAGGGCGATACATCAAACAAAGAAAAGCCAAAGATTTATAAAATAATCTTTATTTCCAAACGTTTCGACATTCAATTTAATGTCATCATCAGTGGATATTACGTTGGTTAGTTACATATAGAGAAGTGTACACAGCACTAGAGATTTGGCACTAACATTTATACAACTAACTTGTCAGCACTATGCATTTTTTATATAATTTTTTTGTATCATGTAAACAGAAAAAACGTTTGGAAATAAAGATTATTTTATAAATCTTTGGCTTTTCTTTGTTTGATGTATCGCCCTCAAGAACTCACTCATATATATATATATATATATAATATATATATATATATATATATATATATAAAACACAGCATGACATTTATAGCTGAGAAGAAAAGTGCTCCATTTAAAGAAATAATAGAAAGTAAACTATTTAAACAAGAGAAAACATCGCTTTAACGTATTAAATGTTTAAGGCACTCGACTAGCATAAGGGTTTGCAAAAAAGCAAGGTGTATTGTCAACGCTTTTCTACCGAGTCAAAGCAACGATGCAGAGTTCTACCAAGTCAAAGCAAATTTATAAGGAGCTTAACTAAGATGCGGCAAGATGGTTGTAAACACCCAAACAATAAACGAACTGTTTTACACAATTGTTTACACTAAGAAGTGCACTCAATAAGTATCCTTATTAATAACAACAAATTTTTAAAATTTAGATATGTTTAAATATTCTTGTAATTTACGTTAGAGCATTATTTGACCGTAAAGTGGCTCATAATTGAATTAAAAAAACAAATTAAATTAAATGCAATATATTTATTCATTATTTCATTAACATATACACACTTAACTATTCAATATATCACAGTAGACACCTTCTCTGACGACAAGACGGAGATAGTTACTTGGAACAGCATAATTAGTAGATCGGGCAACTATTTTCGCTAGAGAACAAGCCTTGAGTGACTTGAGAGTTGAAGACACTACTTGGCCTTAAGTAGTCGTTTACCCTATAAACAAAAGCAATGAATTAATAACAAGTCTCAAAATATACTATAATAATAAATTACCTGATTAATCATTCGGCTGTGTCTTCTAAGCACTCTCAGTATGACCTTCATAGTAAAACTCAACAAGTGGTTTTTATAGTAACTGATTGTTAGTGAGGTTAGTCATGTTATTGAGTTAGTAAGAGTTAATCATGCATAATTATAGGCAGTTAATGAAAAAAAAAAACACTTGCGAGTCATACACATGAATGGGTATTCCAAGCTCTTGATGTTAGGAGCTACAGGGCAGTAATAGTTGGATTGAGAAGATCTGCAAAAAAGAAACAATTAGGAAATTGTTTCCATTTATACTGGTATGGGGGTTAACACATACCTGGTAAAATGTTTCTGGAAGGATTCCTGGTTTAAGGAGTCAGTGTGCAGAGCAGCAGTAGTTGAAAGGACCTGGAAAAAAAAAGAATCATTTTAGGAATGTTTGCATTTATACTGGTATGAATTAACACATACCTGGTAAAATGTTTCTGGAAAGATTCCTGGTGAAGGAGACAGTGTGCAGAGCAGCAGTAGTTGAAAGGACCTGAAAAAAAAAGTATCATTTTAGGAATGTTTGCATTTACACTGGTATGGATTAACACATACCTGGTAAAATGTTTCAGGAAGGATTCCTGGTGAAGGAGTCAGTTTGCAGAGCAGCAGTAGTTGAAAGGACCTGAAAAAAGAAGAATCATTTTAGGAATGTTTGCATTTATACTAGTATGAATTAACACATACTGGTAAAATGTTTCTGGAAAGATTCCTGGTGAAGGAGTCAGTTTGCAGAGCAGCAGTAGTCGAAAGGACCTGGAAAAAAAAAGAATTATTTTAGGAATGTTTGCATTTATACTGGTATGGATTGTTTCTGGAAAGATTCCTGGTGAAGGAGACAGTGTGCAGAGCAGCAGTAGTTGAAAGGACCTGAAAGTACTGGTATGGACTGTTTCTGGAAAGATTCCTGGTGAAGGAGACAGTGTGCAGAGCAGCAGTAGTTGAAAGGACCTGAAAAAAAAAGTATCATTTTAGGAATGTTTGCATTTACACTGGTATGGATTAACACATACCTGGTAAAATGTTTCTGGAAGGATTCCTGGTGAAGAAGTCAGTTTGCAGAGCAGCAGTAGTTGAAAGGACCTGAAAAAAAAAAGAATCATTTTAGGAATGTTTGCATTTACACTGGTATGGATTAACACATAACTGGTAAAATGTTTCTGAAAGGATTCCTGGTGAAGGAGTCAGTGTGCAGAGCAGCAGTAGTCGAAAGGACCTGAAAAAAAAAGAATCATTTTAAGAATGTTTGCATTTACACTGGTATGGATTAACACATACCTGGAGAAATGTTCCTGGAAGGATTCCTGGTGAAGGAGTCAGTGTGCAGAGCAGCAGTAGTTGAAAGAACCTGAAAAAAAAAAGATTCATTTTAGGAATGTTTGCATTTATACTGATTTGGATTAACACATACCTGGTAAAATGTTTCTGGAAAGATTCCAAATAAAGCAATCGGAATGAAGATTCTTGCATTTTTGAATTGGCAGTTGTATGACCAGAATCTGTAATAAAAAAAAAAATTAGTAATGCATTGATGTTACACAGGAATTTCATAAAATTGTTGATGCATTACCAAAAAATTCATCATCATAGATTCTACGTGGAGTTCGAATCTTTAATGAAAAAAATTTCAATTATTCAAATGAGATTTAGAAAGTAAATGATAGAAACTTACTGTCATGCCAAGTCCATTTACATACATGTAAGATATATGCAAAAATAAATATTAAAAAAATTAACACTATATAAAAATAATGTTAAGCTAATTACTTGATTGATTGATCATTAGAAACTTACTTAAAAGTAAATTCAAATCTATTAAGCTTCTTAGTCCTTTTTCTATAATCATTAAAATTGGAGCTGTTGTCAATGTTTATAAAATCACAGTGACTTATATATGCCTGAAACAGAAATTCTAAGGTTACAAATCGGCAAATTAATTAATATTATGAAACATTAAGTATTATTCATCAATAATAATGAATTTAATGTAAACTACATTTTCACTCGATACTTGGCTATTCAATACTCAACCATTTGTTTGATATGATATATTGTAGTCTTCATGTGATTTCATCTTGATGCCCAGAAATATAATGTAGAAATTTACTAGCGGTTTAATAACTGCACTTGGTTTTATATGAAATGCATTAACATGAATTTCAAACAGTGAAAATTTAAATTTAATGTAATACGTCAAATCTACATATTAATTTGCTTAATCCTAAAAGATTCAAACGACCACATTATTTTTTAGTAGTTAAATAAATTAGTTATTGTTAGTGTTTGTTAGTATTATTATGAATGCAAATCATGCAAATGGTCATTTGAATCGTGAAAGCTAATGCTTTAATGATTTTGCAAATTTGTAAAAAATAAAGAGAAAACTAAAAGTACTAATCAATATCTTGGGTAAATTCACTGTTCAATGAATACATTCATAACAAATGCAATTCCAATAAAATCATAATTAGTGCAATACATTAACAATGTTCGCATAAAAACTGAAAGGATCTGCACAAAATTCCTATAGTAACTGGCTGCCACAAATTCAAACCTACCTGCACCTGTAATATACAGAAATTGGTATTAAATCATCATGAAAATAATTATATATACATATTTAAATGTATGTTGATACGTCACCAAAGCTGCCTTTGTCCACAGGCATAATTATCAATCTTCTCAATCCATATACAAAGGCATAATCCTAATCCAGAGAAGCACAAAATAGTCTTTATCTGCATCTTTATTATCAATCAAGTTGTGATAACTATTCTGTGTCGTTTCCTTTGAGTAAGAATAAATTAGTACATAAGCCCAAAGCTGTTCCATGACAAAATACTTTTGCTTTAAGATTCTTGATAACGTAATGATTGTGATATATAAATTGTAGTGAGTTAGAACATAGTAATGATTCAAATAACACTTAAATTGAATATATACAATTCACAAAATGATTAAGTCTCTCGATGGTAAAACTGTCCATGAAATAACAGTTGTTTTTGTTTACTTTGACATGGTGCATTTCAATTAGAGCAAAAACTTTGAATAATAGTATTTAATATTTGTATAAAGAATAGTGAATAAAAAAATATGTATCATTCCCTGAAGTCTTAGAACCGAATCCAAAATAATCACAAATCAGTATCACTGCCTTGCGATTGTAAACTCTTTGTTTAGTCAAGGAAATAGTTTTATTTAACAGTGGACACCACATGAGGTAAATTATAATTATGAGACTAACACTAGTACGACTTGAACAAACTAAATAATTCGAGCACATGGTTAGGAAAAGAAAGAAATGAGAAACGGCTTCAACTTGCAAACGTGCAAATTTTAATGTCATTTCTAACGTAAGACCAACGCTATTGAACACGAAATGGAGTTCGAGTGAATTAGTAAGCAAAATATAATTAGCACATGTACAACATACCAAATGATGTTCGCAGGTTCTCTCCAAGCGGCAAGGGGGCCTTTGTATTCCCCTACGTTTTCTTCGAGTAAATCCAATAAGAAAATGAACTATTGCAATGAAAACCAATTCCGGTAGAAAACAAAACTCGTAGATGTGCGATTACAGAACGTGTATGTGTGTCCGGTCGAAGATGGCGCTGCACAAACTTAAGCGCCACTTTTGTTTTGAAATTGAACCGAGATTTATTGGAATTGATCGGAATCAGATTGGAATCTCTAATTTTAACAATATAAGTAATTAAAAACATCTATTTATTTCTATATCGATAAGCGCTCTTATAATTTTACTGCAAGTATTTTTATTGTTGGCGATTTACACATAAATAAACTTATTTTATTTAGGTAATCAGTTTTTGAATAAGTGCGTACTTAGATTTGATTATAGTAAATTAAATTACATCTTCAAATATTATAAAAATATAAAATTGTTTTAAGAATTTAAGTTTGGATATCTAAAAAATATAATAAATTTGTTAAATGTTGTTACATATGCAATGATCAAAATCTTGACCAAATGAATACATTAAATAATTATTATATCAATGAATTGAGATTTTTTAATAATAGAATATAAAATGATTTCAGAGATTGTCTCCGAAAGGATATTATATATTTTCAAGGATATTCGAGTGTCGGAGGATCAAGTGGGCGATTTTATTAGATGAATGGCTTCGTCGTGCACAGGACAGATATAGTAGGTCGCAGCAGAGAAGAATAGAAGATAAAATTTAGTTAGGTTTATTATTTTCTTTGTTTTCTATTGTCAAGTTCAGCTAAGTACAAACTAGTTGATATTAGATTTTTAATTATATTAAATATAATATGAATTTTATTTAGTGAAATGCTTAGTATTATTTATTTATCTTTGGTGAATATAAATTTTATTTTAACCTATAGTTGCATTTTTAATTCATTTAATATTCTTTTAGTTTCAGATTTTACGATCAAACCATTTTTCGATCTAATTTTGACCTACGAACGATAGAACTATTTTTAACCCATAGGCCAAATTCTGACCTATAATCGAATTATTTTCAATGTATGTGCCAAATTTCGACCTGTAATCGAACTATTGTTGATCAATAGTATGCCCCACCATTGTGACCAAGAGTTGTATATGACACTGGTCGTTTGGCTCATTATGATGGGAAGATAAAAATAAATGCGTGGTAAACCGATCAACCTATGGAGTAAAAACCCAAGTGCACCTGCTCGCACTTGTGCTTTGTTTAAATCAACAACAAATATATAATATAATACATTATTAACAATACTATAGTATATTTTGATATTATAGTATACTGTTAATATTATAATATATTAAATTTATTGGAATAATTACAGCTTTGACAAAAACAGCCAGCAATATATAAACTTAATAAATTGAATAAAATGGTAATTACTTTAGTGACAATAGTAATAATAACAATTAAATTTAAAATATCGTACAGTTTTGGTTTAAGGAAAGTTTTTGTGAATTTGGTACCCCAAAAATAACACTAATTAATTGATAATTAAAAAAAAACATGTTAATATATATATATATATATATATATGTGTGTGTGTGTGTACACATCCCTGGGTTCCTTGGTTGTATTAAACATCAAATTTATAATTTATTATATTAAAGAAAGAGGATACAATATTTATATATACTCTAAAATAATATATTCAAAAACTAACTAATAAAAACTATTATACATATTATTAAAAAGCTCTAAAAATAACAAAAAGATATTTAGGCAAAATTAATAATATTAAATGATATGCTTGTATTCTTGCTTCATTTACAACTAAAAGAAATTTAAAGTAAATAAACAATATGAACTATATATTAACCCCAAAAACTAATAATAAAATACAAAACTAAAATTGCAGAAACATATCTCGTACTCTGCTAAGTATCAATATGGTACCTTATTCCCCTGTTAATTCCAATATTATTATAACCCAATATTAGTATAATATTATCGCAATGCATCAGACTTTTTTGTTCATTATTTTGTTTTCAAAAGATCAAGCACTATTTATTATCTTTCTGAAGCAATTTGCTACAAATCTGTCTTTTTCTTGTAAGGCACATGGTTCTTCACCAGCCAAAGCTGTTTCCACAAGTTTAATGGATTCCTCTGAGAATTTCTGACCTTGTAGACGAGTGATCACAGCCGCTTCGCCATGCATTCCATCTGTACGGCAAAGCCCTGGAAGGATAAACATTTAATCAGAAAAAGTATTTGAAATATAATTGACATAAAAACATTATCAGAGAACAAAATTAATATTGCACTGTACCTCCAAAATTTACCACATTTATTAAATTTCTTAACAAAAATCTAATTTTTACTGCAATAATATTTATAAATAATATAAAATTGTTTATATATATATATATATATTTTAATTTTACGGACCATTAACTTCTTTACTTCTCTCAACATTTACAGGAATTTTAGCTTGAGCTATTGCATATACATTTTCAGATCTTAACAATAATGAATATTTATAAACATATCTTTGCAATCTAGTTTGGTGCTACGATCTTCGAAGTTCTCAAAAAATTTATTATAAACTATCATATATTTTTCATAATCTACACATATTTGGAAAACTTGTTCAATTGAGATCATATATGAGGCCAAAATGGATCAAATTGGATCTTGCTTGGTCTTTAATGATATTTGATTCTGCTAAGGGCATGTAATAATATTACATTTAATAAATTAAGAAAATAACTTGTATTTTATTTCCATTTTCTTACCTTTTGGGACACTCAAGTGAACATCATTGATAAGTCCACGCTCCACGTTCATCGATATGGTTAGTTGTTTAGAATCTCTTTCAAAAATCTCTCCGTGTTGCACAGATACATCTTCTTGTAAAAGCGATTCAGGTACATCGAATGTACGCAATATGGAAAATTTGGGAGTGCGCCCAAATCGCCAATCCCAACTTTCGTATTCTTCCCGTATCTTATTAATACCTGAAAATAAATGTGTCCCAGAACTCAATGTCAAGCCGTAATGTGGTGATAGTATTGATGGTAGTTGTCATAAAAAAAAAATAAAAAGAAAATCACACATAGTTTATAAAGTGCTAAAGCACCTATGTATCTGACGTACCTTTAAAAGGCAACCTAGAGCTCTGAGGAAAATATGACCATTTTTCGAAAATCGTGGTTAAAATCATTTATTTAAGCTTTAGGTTCGTAATCGTAAATAATATTTCTAGGAAATACAGTCACAAATAATGACACAATTGCCCTAAATTTTCAAGAATTAATACTTAATGTTGAACTATAAATTAAATTTTTAAATGTGGTCAACTTTTAGAGGACCTACTTCTAAAAAATTAAAAAAAAAGTGTGTTGGTAAGTTTTATTAAAACTTGGCGCATTCAATCATGATTGTAAAATGATATAATACCTACTTAATAGTTTCATAATAAAATTTAATATAATTTTAAAAAATCAAAAAATAAATACACTGACTTCACAATAACGAGGTTTTCACAATAAGGACACACTATACATTGTGCACTTCACCCTCGTCAGGCCTTTTCTAGAATATTATTCCATAGCTTGGACACATTATACGAAACTATCAAGCAACAAACTTAATAGTGTGCCATTTTTTTTTGAAAAATACCTAAAATACTTTGCGCAATATAAAAGAATTAGTGTACATGAAAGAGGAATTTTTTTACAGAAATGCGAGACCAATAATCTGAGCAAATGACAGCAAATTAATGATCTTATCTTTTTTATAAGTCAGTAAATGGCTTAATTGATACCCTGTTAGAAAAAAATTATTTACTCTAGACTAAGATCATACTTCAGTATTACGCAGACTTCAAAAACCACAAAAAAATTATATATTAAACAGTCCTATGAATAGAAGCACCATAGAGTAGCTATGGTGGTCAACAAATAGTGCTCGAACCAAAACTTGTTTAATTCCTCACATAATGCTATTATTTTGATAAAACTTGCCTAATTATAAACCTTTTACCTGGGAACCAGCCCTCGGTTGGGTTGATGGATTGGAATCCTCTCTGTGACTGCACCAAAGCATCTCCCTGATCTTGCAAAGATACAGCGGATGTCCGCATATATTCATTTCCGACAGCAGCGATCAAGCGATTTACGTTTACACGAACATCTTGCTCCACTAAATTCGCAACCTTGCTTTTCACAGAAGGAGTGGCGGTTGTGCTTATACCTGACTGAAATAGAAATATATTTATTAATAAAAAAAATGTTATTTTATTATGTAGTTTTAATTACATTTTGAATCTTTCTATTTTTATTGTATAAAAAATTCAAACTAAATTCATGAAATATAAAAAAAAATCGAAATTTTATTGAAAACTTTTGCTATATCATCAGTGGATATTGTATATATGAGAATTACAGGACTAATTTTATAATCTGAAGTATAGAGTATTATGGCAGTAACAATAAACAGGTCAGTAATTGCAAATTAATTTTTAATAACAGTTTTAATGAATTGTACTAATTACACGTTATTTTGAGAGAACGTATAAGTGCGAAATATGTGAAGAAAAATCGGTATTAAAACTATATGTATAAATTGTTTATTTATGCCATGAGCGCTTGTGTTTCCAATTGAGTGCACAGTATGTCATTCCTCATTTTTTTTCTTTAAAAAAAAAAAATATTTTATTTATTAACTTCCCGTAGGGCAAGTTATAGTAATCGCAAAAAAATCGAAAATGAAAATTTTTATATATCTTTACGTTTCAAAACCTTCTGAACATTTTGGCATACCTTAGAAAAAATGGATGTATGTGTGTGTGTGTGTATGTGCGTGTATGTGTGTGTGTGTGCGGATACAAATTTTCGTCGACGATTTCGGAAACACAGATGAAGCGATTTGAATAATTCAACAAACATTCGATTCGTATTGATAAGGAGACGAGCTGATTAGTTTTTGGCGAAGGCAGGTCTAGCCGTTCCGAAGATATGGGGCAAAAAGTGCCAAAAACGGTAACCCAGTTTTTAAGTTTTTAAGAGAACGAAGCGTCCGATTTGAATAATTCAAAAAACATTTTACTTGATGAAATACTTGACGTTGGTTTTTTGCAGACAACAGTTGTCTCATCTCTATGATGAATTTCTTTCATTACAATTTCTGTAATAGTGAAAAATTCACTTCTCCATAAGGAGTGCACTTGTCAATTACAGTTAACTGGTTAAGTGATAAAAAAACCTGATTTTAGCGGACGTCAATAGTCGATTAAGATTAATATAATAGAACCACATTGTAGATTCCATTAGTAAATAACTAATTTCTTTTAAAAAATATGGACACTAAACGCTTATAATACAAATTAGCATTGTGCTTCACAGTATATGTACAATATGGTATGGTACTATATATGTTCAGGATATAATGAGGGAGCAGTATGAATAAAAACATCGTATATTCCTGGATCAGAATTAAATATATACTTTATTCCATTAAGTTTTACTTCCTTTAATGAGAGCTTATGAAGTAGAATGCATTAATCAATATTAAATTTTTAAATAAAAATTATCAGTAATTGATTTTAGGAAGAGAAAATACTTCCTACGCCTTGTTATAATATAAATTATAATTGTCATCCAAAATCAGCTAATTGTTTTCACTCACAACAATTTATACAATAATTAACTCTTGGTGCTATATTGAATTAATAATAATATTCCTTGCAAATAATTTGCATTAATCGTATGCAGAAAATACACCAAGTATTCGCACAGTAACACGATTCTCATGAATATGTATGCATGTAGGTTAAACATGTTCGTTGTAGACTTTATCCAAGGGCAATGTAAAGTGAATAATTTGCGTATAAATTTTTGTTATTTTCGGTAAACATTATGGTGATAAAATTACTAGTCCGTAAATATTTTGACGGATTTGATTACAAATCGAATTAGATAGCGGTTATTTATACAACCGGTAAAAAATTACAACATACCAGAGTAAGAGAATATAAACAAATGATATAATTGCATTGAAAACATGAGAAATCTACGAATACTTGTAATCTAGTTATTTTTTATTTGCTTGATCATCTATTTATTAAATCAATTGTTCGACTAGGTGTAACCGATATTTTTCTTTAAGGTAAATAATCGATTTATTCAATAAAAATAGAGAAAACTATTTAGTTAATAAATAAAATTTTTGCTTTTCATCAGAATCTAATCGATGCCATCACTTGACATATTTTGAATAAACTTGTAGAAGACACATGTAATTATATCAATTATAGTGCACAAACACGCGATTTTATGTCCAAAAAGCGCAACCCATTATCATAATCCAACAGTTTTTAATATGGCTTATAATATTCTAGGATGTTCGTTTACATCATAAACTTGAATTTTATTTTTTTATTTTCTTATAAATTACAATCTGTCTAAATAGAAAGACACTGAGTAATTAGTTTGACAATTAACATAGAATTTTAAAAGAAAAACCCAGTAATTCATCTTTTATTAATGTACTAAATTATATCTTAATTAAATTTTGATATTATAAAGAAAGAAACTCAAATATATACATACAATTATAAAAACAAGTAAACTCGAATTTGTCAAAATTTATTGAAGTTGTCAATAAGTTCAATAATTAATTAAGAAAAACAGCCAATCTCTACCAGAAGATTTGATCAGGCTGATCATTACCAAAGTCAAATTTTGCTCATAGATACACATAGTTTTCTGAATTATGGCATCAACATGACCTAAAACGCCAAAAAGAAACAAACTTTTCTATTAGAAATTTAAAAGATAATGAGATAAAATAAAATGATTTTTTATCCCTTGTTAATAGAGTCAAACTGAAAAATTATATTTAATTATTTGTGGGGAAGGCGGATAATTTTTAATATCACCACGTATCACCAAGGGGTATCCAAAAATCCTTAAAAATCGATCACGTGATTAATGGACGCGTCCTTTTCGCGTGTAAATATATTTTCACATATGGACAATTGAATATAAGATTGAATATAATTTGATTTATCATCTACAAAATGCACCCATTTTCTTATGAAATAACTAATATTCTTTCATGAGAAATAATTACATATCATTTCAACAGAAATCATTGAATTTTTATTTTTTTCAAGAGTGCGTTGACTTTGCACTCATATCTCAACTAAACGTAAACAACATTTGTTTCTTTATTTCGTTTTTATATAGCTTGTTGTAATTTCTTATAGATACAATTATATATATATATATATATATATATATATATATATATATATATATATATACTCTAGATCAGGTCACTGTAAATTCTGTAATCTTTAGTAGACTGCAAAAAAAATAGAGATCGTTTATATATAGGTTAAAAGTTTTTTTATCTGATTCGCTGACCTATGTAACTAATATTAATTAGACCAAAAATATTGATAACAATATTAAATTAAATGAAGTATCTTAATTTTATATTTTACACATGAATACTAGTGTCTTTATGTTTATAGGCAGGTATCCACCGGATTGAATATTTGAATTGACAGTTCAATACTATAGATTTTTTTTAAAAACTTATAATAACCAAAAATTAATGAAATTATTAAATAAAAATTTTCACTGTATTTTGCTTTTTTTTAACTTCCCGTTATTATTATTAAGTTATTGTAATGGGCCGAAAATCAAAATTGAAAATTTTTACATTTCTCGACGTTTTGAAGGTTTCTGAACATTTTGGCATACCTCAGAAAAAATGGATGTGTGTGTGTATGTATGTATGGATACAAATTCCCAGTCACGTTTTCGGGCGCACGAATTAACCAATTTGAATGGTTCAAAAAACATTCGATTCCTATTGATAGGGAGATGTGCTGATCAGTTTTTGGCAAAGACAGGCCCAGCAGTTACGGAGATAAGAGCAAAGAGTGTAGAAAATAGAAATCGAGTTTTTGAGAGAACAGAGGATCCGATTTGAATGATCTAAAAAACATTCAATTAGTAAGTTATTGAGAGAAGTGTTTTTTTGTATATCGAAAATAATTCAGATTTTATTTTTAATTCTGACTATAGTTCAAATATACTTTAAACAAATAATTTCAACTTTGCAATTCAGTTCATATAATTCTTATAAATATTAGACAATGTTACAATATTAATAATAATCTATTTGAAAACATTCAGTATTCCTCGAACATTTCGTTATGGTACGGGAAGTTTCAGCAATTTGCCTTAATAAAGGCACGATGCCATACACCTCACTAGTTTTCAATACATTTAGATCCAATATAAAATAATATGAATGCGACTCGAATGCCGTCGGAAACTAAATTTCGTACTTCTTAACGAGTCCAAGAAATTTAAATTGATTCTCAAATGCTGTGAGCAGTATGTACAATTAACCTCACTGAAACATTTAACCACAGACTGAATATTCTCCTTAAGACGAAACATATTCATAACGAATTATTCAAATCAAATTTGTCACATGTGTTCTGTCATGCAATTAATACCATAAACTGCACATATTTTTTGTTGGCTTCGCCCAGAGGTAGGAGGATAGAGTGGCGGGATTTAAATTGGAGATCCCGTGTTCAATTCCCGCTGTCAATGCATCGATTTTTAATTGGAAACTTGGTAGCAATTATATTATAGAAATTATAATTGAAACTGTTTGGGTTGCCATCTATAAAAAACCCAACGTAGTTAGTTAAGTAAATCATCACAACAGCTCATAGAACTCTTAATAGTAATTTAATTTCTGATAGCTGTTCGATATTAAAAAGAAAATAAACCACCTTGCAACCAAATGATTTCGGATTCATTTCCCGTATTGGACAATCTGATACCAATAAGTTTCTTTTGAAAATATGATTGTAATTGTAATAGCTTTTCGGGACATTAAGGCAATAAAACAATTAGAACGATTATTTGGTTTACCTTCTAATGGCGTTTATAAGTAAATTAATATTAATATTTCAAATACTAATGGCAATCATTCATTTGCCTAGAAACCTAGAATAAATATCGCTCACATATCTAGTTTTGAACCCTGATAAAAAAAACGCAGCTATTAACAAAATTACATACAATTTGCTTGTAATTTAACGTTTTAAAAAGAAAGAATCAATGTAATCAAAAAAAGTTCCGAAAAAAAACAATTGTATCTGTGTGTGCATCAAAAATACTTTTACATATGATTATTAGAGAGAAACAATCTAATACTATTTTT